CCTGCTTGATTTTTCTGTGAACCTAAAGTGGCGCTTAAAAAAAAAGGGGGGGTCTATTCAGTTAAAGAAAAAAGTGATGATAAATACTTGAGTCAGAGAAAAAAGCAGATGCGCTATTGGCAAAATTCCTTTCTCAAACAATGTGCGTATGCCTGCAAAGTTTTTGCTCTGACAGTTGGACAAAAGCTCTCATGTGCAGAGGATGAGGAAGCTTCTAGCAAATGCTTGGCACATGCGTGAGGTCATAGTACAGTCGAGATATTCTGCATCTTCGCTGGAAATACAGGCTACAGAGAAGACATGTTTTGCGGTTAATGATCCATCGTGAACTCTGACCTGTGTGGGTGGCACGCCGCCCTGGGCCACCTGGAAGGGTGGCCGTGAGATTGGAAGGGCACGTGTGGGAAGCCAGGCCACACACAGGGAGCCACAGACGGTCCATTCACAGTCTCCCCGGCTTGACTCGGTGCTGATGAGCTGGATAGTGAATACAAGATTTGGCTTTTCTGAACCCACGTGTACTGGTGGTCAGGGGCAAGATGCTCCTTATGTGTTGAAAGCAGGAGCTGAGTTTCTGATGACACCAGTAAAGAAATTCCTGTGATTTCAAGTCACATATTTCCGGGTTATATGTTGTAGAACTTGAATCCATCAGTCCAGAGCCCTATATTATGACTTTTAATATTGGGAACCAGATCTCGGGATTTTAGAAGAAGACTCAGTGTCCCAAGGGGCTGGGCTGCTGACACTCTGGCTTCTCAAACCCAACACATGAGGGTTTTTCTTTATCTGGCGGAGGAAGAAATCGATGGTGCAGTCCTAGGCATATTTGAAAGTCACATTCAGGTGCCACGAAGCTGATGCAAGCTCTTTAGGTAGCGGAACGCAGCCCGAGAAAGCTCAGAACCCCCTCGCCGCTGTTCTCCGAGGTGACTTCACTCCTCACCCCTCTGGCTTCAGCGCAGCATGTGCTGATGGTGCGTGGCGATCCCAAGCGGAGTTGCCAGGGCAGACACTGTCCCGATCTCGTGATCTGCGTAGCCAGGGCCACCACTACCGATGAGCTAGGACTCCGATTTCCTGGAAACAAAGAGTTCACAAAGACGCGGGGCGCCTGGGTGGCTCAGTCGCTAAGCGTCTGCCTTCGGCTCAGGTCATGATCCCAGGGTCCTGGGATCGAGCCCCGCATCGGGCTCCCTGCTCCGCGGGAAGCCTGCTTCTCCCTCTCCCACCCCCCCTGCTTGTGTTCCCTCTCTCGCTGTATCTCTCTCTGTCAAATAAATAAATAAAATCTTAAAAAAAAAAAAAAAAAAGAGTTCACAAAGATGCCACTCAGAGGGGGGACTTGACCCCTGGGTCAGCTTATCCTTCACTTGGGCTAGACCTTGAGGCCCTGATGAACCACTGCAATGGCATGTCTCCCCATGGGCAGGAATGCTGTATTTTTATTATTGTAAGAACTGGTTAGAACATTTGTCTTCCTCAGTCCCCGCTGTGTGGCCCGTGGGGGCCCCCTGTCTGCACAGCATGGCCTCCTGCAGCCCGGGGTGGCAGGGTCTCTACCTGGTGCAGCCCGAGAGCCCCCAGCCTCCCCTCGACACGACCCAAACCGCAAGAGCAAGCCTCTGGGTTTAGAGCCTGTGCTCTGTGTGGTTAATAAAAGCACCACAGCAAAAGGTTTTATCCAAAACTCCTCATGTGGGCCATTCAGCTTTAAGATTTATGTAATACTGATGAAATAAAGACTCAAGAAAATCTGCCCCCAGAAGTCTGAAACCTCTCACTGAGGCTGTATGGGTGATTCCCTCTGGTCTTCATGCTCTGCTTTCAGAACCGACTTAAAGTCCCAAAACTCTTGACAGGAAAAGCTGGAGGCCTCAAGTGTCGGATGCTGGAGCCCTGTTTTAGTTCTGGGGCAGTCTCAAGGCTGTTCTTGTTCTCGGCTCCTGGAAAACCCCACAGATCTCTGCTGCATGTGTGGAGATGTTCTCATGCCAAAGCAAGTCGATAGACCACAGTGCGGGCAGGGTCAGGAATCAGACCGCCTTCTGAGATGATCACACTCCTGGGCTTGCACAGAGAGGGCTATAAACACAGCCCATTCATGGATTCCCAATGGATCTGAAAATACGATTCTTCTGAAGCAACTCAGATGACAAACCACAGTAGCCGGGTTGCCCGGGGTCTGGGCTGCACCTTTCTTTGCAACAGGATAGTGTGGACCATAGAGAACGCTGTGGTTTCTCAGGAGATCTGTGACCTGTGATCCTAGTACATGCTGTTATTATGCACTGATGCAATTTGCTAACATTGAACCTGTCGTGTTTGTGACAGTTAATGTAGTCTGTGAGGAATGCTTTCTCATCGATACCAGCTTGAAACTCATGTCCATTCGGCCAGTCGTCCAAGGAAGGACATGTGTGGTTGCCTGTGGGTACCTAGGCCCTGGTGGGTTGCAGGGACTGAGTGAGGCGAGGTGCAAGCTGGTACACCAGGCACTGCCCCATGCGTTACAGCCTCTGGAGAGCAAGTGACTTCTCCCCATCCTGCCCACAGAACTGGGTCCTGCGGAGCACTCTGGACATAGAGGACAGCAAGACCCGGTGGGGGGCGGGAAGCTCTCTGATGTCAGGTGACCCCAAAGCACATCAGGACCAAAAGGACAGGGATGAGACAAGATCATCACCTTCTATTTCAGGAGATTATTAGCCCCACACCAAAAGACAAAATTATTTTCTAACTGACAATCAACCAATGTAATCCATCACAGTAACAGTCTACAGAAGAAAAAAAATCTCATGATCATATCAATGAAGAAAAAGCATTTGATAAAAATTAATATTCATTTATGATAAAGACTTGAAGAAAACGAGGGATAGAGGGGAATTTCCTCAACCTGAAAAAGGGCATCTAAGAAAACCTACAGTCAACATCACACTTAGCAGTGAAAGACTGAAGATTTTCCCTTAAGATTGGGAACAAAGCACAGATGTCCACTCTTGCCACTCCTGTTCAACACTGTACTACAAGTCCTAGATAGTGCAAAAAGATAAGAAAAATGAATGAAAGTCATCCAGATTAGAAAGGGAAAAATAAAATTGTTCCTATTTGCAGAGAGCAAAAAACTCTTGCAGCTCTTACAAGTGAGTTCAGCAAGGATACAGGATGCAAGGCCGACAGCCAAAAATCAACAGCTGGAAACTGAAGTTAAAAATCAATACCACTTATAATAGCTCCAGAAACATAAAATATTAAGGCATAAATCTAACAAAATACATACAGAATTTGCATGCTAAAAATTACAAAATGCTGATGATAGAAATCAAAGATCTAAATAAATGGGAAAAAAAAATACTATGTTCATGGATGGGAAGACCCGACATAGGAAAGACGTCAGTTCTCCCCAAATTGATCTATAGGTCTAAGGCTGCTTAATCAAAATCTTACTATGAATTTTTTGTAGACATAGATAGAACGACCTAAAATTTATATAGAAAATTCTAAAATTATGTAAATCTTACTATGAATTTTTTGTAGACATAGATAGAATGACCTAAAATTTATATAGAAAATTCTAAAATTATATAAATCGCCAACACAATGGTGAAGTGAGAGAAAACACTCTACACAATTTTGGATGGAAAGACACTCTAAAGACTGGGTGAACATATTTGCAAGTCACATATCTGACAGGGGACTTATATTCAGGATATATAAAGAACTCTCAAAACTCAACAGTAAGCAAACAAACAATCCAGTTAAAAAATTAGGCAAATTACTTGAACCAAGAGGTCACCAAAGAGCATATAATGAAAGGCAAACAAGCACATCATTTGCAATCAAGAAAACACCAATCACAACCACAGCGAGATACCACTACACACCCATCAGAACGTCGAAAATGAAGAATGGTTGACAACACCAAGTGCTGGTGACGAGGTGGGACACAGGGACTCATACATCACTGGGGGATGGGGGGAGACGCAAAACCGTACAACCACTTGGGAAAACTGTTGGTGGTGTTCCATAACGTTAAACATACACTTACCGTGTGAACCAGCAATCCTGCTTGTACGTATTGATCCAAAAGAAAGGAAAACATATGTCCATACAAAAACCTGTACATGAGTACTTATAGAGACTTTATTCATAATCACCAAAAACTGGAAGCTGCCCGAATGGCCCTCAAATGGTGACTGGATGGAGGAGCTGTGGCATGGCGGAACCCTACCCAGGAGCAAAGAAGAAGCAAGCACTGATTCACATGACAACGTTAATGGGTCTCAAAGGCACCACCGCGAGTGAAAGAGGCGGCCTCAGACGGTCACCGACTGTATGTTCTGTGTATACGACACTCCCGAAAAGACAAAACTAGAGTGACAGACAACCGATCAGCATTGCCAGGGGCTGTGGGTCACGGGAGGAGGGAGATTTTAGGGTGAGGAGCCGCTCTGCACCCTCACCGTGGCCGCAGTGACACGAGGTCGTTGCGTCAAACCTCAGGGCTGCATGCCAAAATGGGTCAGTTTTACTCTGTGTTAATTTTCCAAATGAAATAAAAGTAAGCACGGAAAATAGACTTTAAGAGCAGACACAGTTTTAAAGCAGGTCGGGAATTGTCTGGGGCAGGGGCATGGCGGCAATGAGTGGGTGCAGTTCCCAAGCGGGACTGCCCTGTGCCTAGTTCGCTCCAGCAGTCACACGGATGGATGGGCCCGGGGCCTCTGGGAGAGCGATGCCAATGGTGGGGGTACCCCCCCATCACGGTGATGCTGGGCTCAGATGCCATTTCCACAGCAGCCCAGGAGGGCCCTTCTGCCCTCTCTGTCTACCACAGAGTATCTGGTTCCCAGGGGTGGACACTTGCCTCGGATCACACGCCCTTCCAGGTGGCAGGGCTCCGGCTCCAGCACCCCAGGCTGCCTTCCACTCAGCATTCCTGCTGCTGAGGAGGGTCTATTCAGGGTCTACCCTGCTGCCCCCGAGAGCCTCGTACATACCGTAGCTGGCGATGAGCGGGAGGTGTGGGCCAGGGAGTGTCTGGTGCTGTCCATCCCCCCGTGGATGAGATAGGCTCCCGCGCTGGAGACAATAGGGCTCCCCCCGACATCCATGGTGATGCCCACCATGCTGTGCGAGGGGACCGTTGGCGGGGAGGAGCCTGCCACGGTCACCTGGGCGCCGCCCGGGGCCTCGAAGTAAGAAGCTGCGCTGCTGGGGGCGTACATCTGAGGCTCGGGGTTGTAGGCATAGGCAGTCCGTCTGTCAGGAAGAGAGAAGGGCCTCGTCTGAGTCTCCACGGGAATCCAGCAAGACTTCACGTTAAAGCTGGAGCCCCTCGACACCAAGCACACGGGGTCATTCAGACATGAAATGTCAGGGCAGTGCAAAGTTCAAAGTGATCATTTCTGGAAATATTAAGGATCACAGGATGACTCATTGAAACTATCACTGAAAAATTCTAAGTGTGTAAAGGCGTTGCATGGGGGAGCTCCTTTGAGGAGATGGAACGATTCTGTATCTTACTGCGGTTACGTGCCATCTGCACACGGGGTAAAATGGCCTAGACCACACACGCACGCACGCATGCGATGGCATGTAGGCTGCTAAGTGTGAATTAGGCCCGCGGGCTAGCTGACAGTCCATCGCAATGCCAATCTCCTGGTATTGTGCTATGGCCACAGATGTCACCACTGGGGGAAGCGGGGCAAAGGGCACACGGGACTTGGTCCTAAGTCTGCAACTGCCTGAGAGTCCGTGATTCTTTCAAAACAGAAAGTGTTTGCAAAATGAAATTGCCTAATAAAAAGAACTAAGCGATACCAAGAATTTGTCTGATATTCTTTCACCGTTTGGATTAAATGATTCACCCTGTGGTTTGCGACTCAAATTTTTAGGTTCTGCTCGCTCGTGTAGAGCTGGCCCCAGTAAAAGGCGGTGCCTGAAGCTTAGTGGTGTGTCTCGAGAGCTTCCCTGTGGGTGGCATCGAGGCCCCTCCGACTGGCCTCCAGGAGGCCTGCACCCCTGTCCCGCCTCCCGGGGTGACAGCCGATTTAACTGTGGCACAAGATGAAGCTCAGGACGTTGATGCTGGGGCGACCTACAGACCTTGCTCAGATTTCCTGGGCTGTCCAGGCACTGACGTGCATCTGCGTATGTCTGGCACCGCCTCGGGGCTGTGCTGCAGAGATTCGCACAGCTCCGGCCATCACCGTGGCCAACTCTCATGCCCCATCCCTGAACTTCTGGAAGGAGGTCGTGGAAATCAAATGAGCCAAAGGGCTCGCGTCTTGAGCGCAATGAGCTTCATGGGAAATGTATCATTTTCTGCCCCGAACACCACATAGTTCGAAGGCAGAATGCTCTAGAAGTCCTTGACAAATGGAAAATCAAGTTTTAGCAACATCATAAACAGCCAGAGGTGGACACAGGCAAGGACGAGAAGGTAGAGACAGAAATGGTGCCTGGATTGTGAAGACTGAATCTTCTGACTTAAAAGCTGGACTGGGGTTTTGTTTCGCGTTCTGCTTTGTTGGAAAGGCTGCCTTTTACGGCAGTGAGAACTACCAAGGCCTGTGATTTCTGAAATCTCCACAGGGCTCTGATGTCCTAGAACTGTTGTAACAGTTCCAACATCACCCAGAGGAGGAGGAGGAGAAGTTTCCACACACACAGCCCCAAATGGGAAGGGGTGTGGGGAGTCGTGAGAGAAGGTTCTGGACGCGGCCCACGCTTGTCTGCGAGGAGGGCCCTTCCGGGCGGAGAGGCAACCCACGTACAAGGCTCCATTCGTGTAGACGGCGTCTCCGCCTTCCACGTACTGCACCTGCGGGGGGTACACGTGCTGCACCTGGAACGACAGCAGGTACCGGGCGTGAGGCAAGGCGGGCTCCTGGAGGGGCCGGCTGGGCGCGTCTTCTCGTGCCTTTTGCGAACAGTGACTCCTACGTGTCAGATTTCCCTCCCCAGCCGGCGCTTTCAACCCAGAAACCAGGAGAACTGGTCACCAAAAGGCCCCACGGGAATGGAGATGCTGCCGATCCACAGCTCTGCTGCATTTTCTGGGCACGGCGGCTCGTTTCCGCCGCGGAGCCCGAGGGGAGCGAGGTGGGCGGCCCCCATTCTGTGGCGGGTCGGGGGGAACCCAGCTCGCAGCTTGGAGCAAAGCTGCAGAGCAGAGCTGGGTCGGTCGGTCCCTGCCACCCGCCAGCCACTGGGCAGAGGGGTGGGTCCCGCTGGACAGGAGAAGCCAGAGCTGTGGACAGAACGTGACCTTGGGGGGGTCGGACACCCCTCACCCCCCGCAGGGCAGAGGGCTTGAGCTGGTCATACTCTACATGGCCTCCCTGACGTCCCCTTTGGGTGGCCCTGGCACCCCTCCCCAGAGGGGCGGGGGTCCTGGGAGGCACACCAGGGAGACCTTCAGTCTGAGCAGAATGGAGTGGGAGCTGGAGAGGGGCACTGGGAAGCCCCCAGCCTCGGCCTGCCGCGCCCCTGCCTTCACCTGTGGCCACGTCAGTTCAGCATCTCAGCAGACAGGGGCGCTGGCCCAGGTGGTGGAAGCCCGAGCTCCGCGCACAGAACCTTACACCCTCACCACAGAGGGAAACTTAACGGACGCCTCATCCAACCTCCTTTTGGGGTGAGAGAGTCAGGGGCTGGGTTTCATCGTGGCCTCTCTCTAAGCCTTTTCGTGGAGCGGCAGGATGGGGCTGATTCCCACCTCCTAGGACAACCCAACGCAGTGCATGATGCACACACACAAGCCCCTGGAATAGCGAGCATGCCCGAGAAGGTTCCGGGGACTAACATGCTAGGGGTGGGCTGTGCCTTAGGGGGCTGGGGGAGATGCAGAAGTCACTCTGCAAGTCCAAGCTGCCCAGAGAGAAAGGCTGGGACAGGCCCGGCCCCACAGAGAGGAAGCTTCTGGAATCATGACACTGCTCGTGTCTCCCTCAAGGAGCTGAGACAGAACCGCTGGTTCCCTGCTGGGCCTGCCAGAAGCCTTTGCTTCTCTCCCATGGCCCCGAAACCTGCCCCAGTTGCCTCCAGACAAGCGCCTCTAAACACACCAGCAATCTAAGCCGGAACCCCCTGGGCAGAGGGGTGTGCCGTCTGTCCTGGTTCCAAGAGCCTGCACTGATTTTAATTCAGCGTGTTACAGAGCTCAAGTCCGCAAACTCCAGCCCTCGGGCCAAATCTGGCCTGCCTCTTTCTGCAAATAAAGTTTTCCGGGCACACAGCCACGCCCCGCCGCTTGCATCCACAGCTGCTTTCTCAAGACAGAGGCAGAGTTCAGCAGTGGTGTCGGGGGCCGCTAGCCCGCCAAGCCGAAACATGTGCTGTTTGGCCTCTTCCAGAAAAGGTCTGCCCCCCGCTGCTCTAGGTCACCCGGACTCTGTCGAGCTGCTGATCTGTGCAGCTGTGTGCCTGGGGAGCGCTCGCTCTGAAGCTCTGTTCCGGGATCACTGGATTTCACAAGAAGCACTTCCTGGGTCATGGCATTGGTCTGAGGGTACGGCACTTGCTTCCCCAGCAAGTTCCACATTCCTTCAACCCAGACACTGGGCTTCTCTGTCTGCGTGTCCACCTCGGTACCCCAGTGCTCTACCGGGGTGCTGGCTTGCACCCCGAATGCTGAATTTCTGGATGAATGAAAGATCGTCAGCGTTCTTGGCCTGTTGCAAACTCTCTGCAGTAAAAGATTCTTTTTTTTTTTTTTTTTAAACATAGCTTCCGAAAGAACCTTCTGGTCAAGAACTGAAGATATTAAAGACAAAGGAACGGCAACAAGAGGAAAGGATGCCTCGTTCAGAGAGGGCTCCAGATCGCTAAGGGCTAACGTGTCCCATGTCCCCTGTGCTGTGGTTACCTGCTGTGGCACCTGCTGGACCCTGGGGAGGGAGATTGGCTGCATCTGGGCCCCTTTGGGAGCCGAGCCCGCTGCCTGGACCAACACCCTCTAAAAGGGAAGGAGAGAAGGATGTTTAGACTTTAGTCAGAGTTTAGCCCTTAAAACAAACACAGATTACAACCAGAGCCCTGCTACCTTCTCCACTGTCACCTTACAGACACATAAGCAGGACTCACAGGAGGACAGGACAGTGTGCACGCACGCACGCACACACACACTCGTTCACGTGCACGAGCACACGCACCTTCACCTGCCCCCAGCAGCTCTCCCTCCCTGGGGTCTGTTCTGCAAGGTGACGTGGGCTGTCCCTGGCACCACGCTGAGAGGCTGGGTGAAAAGAAGGACCCTCTAGACAGCTGTCCACACCACCTTCCCCCGGCCCTGGCACCAAGCTGGGGCTGGTGGCAGAACATGGCCGCTGTGGTGGGAAGCTGGGCCGGAGGGCGCAGGGCGGGGAGGTGAAGCGGGAGGCGCACACCTGGCTAAGTGAGGCGGCAGGAATGCCTCTCTCTGGCAAGGAGCGAGGCACCCGCTGTTGAGGGAAGGCAGGGCGGCCCGTGAGCATGAGTGCTTGCAGCTTTCCGGAAAGGGAGAGCCCCGAGTAAGCAGCAGGAAGTCTCTGCTCGAGGAGCAGAGGAGACACCTGGGCGGGCTGGATGCGTCTCTAGCAGGGATGGAAGGCCTGGAACTCGGGAGGGACACCGTGGCCACGGTGCGCCCCTGGAGGCGGGCCCCTGGCACCAGACAGCCAGGGGATGGAGGGCTGAAGGGTCAGCTTCAAGCGGGCAGGGAAACACATCAATTAGGCTACCACTGAATCTGATCATGCCCCCTTGGCACCCTGGGAGGGGCTGGCAAGGCCCACGTGGGGGCTGCTGTATTTGCAGGAAATAGAAACTAAACAAGTCTGATTGTCCTTTCTAAAATGAATAAACCTCTCTGAGGTCTGCCTTTGTGTTTTTGCTGAATGAAGGGGCGTTTTCAGCTTCATCAATTCTGTCATGCTTCTGACTTCTGGAATACGGCTCGTGGGGGGTCACACAGCCGCAGTGGGCCTCTGCACACGCCTCCAAGCTTCCAGTCTGTTCCACTGCCCTCGGCTTTGTGTGATCTTATGTCACTAACTTTATGTTTGTGTCTATGATGTATTTCCATCCATGGCAGAAACCTGGAAGTCAGGAGCCTTCATGTGGAAAGTCTCTCTGCAAATTTTAGAGATTTTTTTTTTTAAAGACTTTTTATTTATTTATTTGACACAGAGACAGATAGTGAGAGAGAGAGCACAAGCAGGGCGAGCGGCAGGCAGGCAGAGGGAGAGGGAGAAGCAGGCTCCCCGCTGAGCAGGGAGCCTGATGCGGGGCTCCATCCCAGGACCCTGGGATCATGACCTGAGCCGAAAGCAGCCGCTTAACTGACTGAGCCACCCAGGCACCCCTCTCTCTGCAAATCTTAAAGAATATATCCATTCTAATGCTAGAATTCTAACCCATCTTTTGCCTTATCCACAAAGTCTTCCTGGGTAACAGGGTTAATTCCCAGGTACGAGAAAACTTCCATTAAACGAGAGGAAGAGACTAAGTTGGTTTCTTTTCGTGTTTGTATCCTTGAGTCCTTGGTGGGACCTTTTCAACAAATAGCGACTGACATGTTAATTTGGGAAAGCTCTCTCTGCTGACCCGCGTGTTTTTCAAAACCTAAGAGGATGTGCCCCCCGCCCCTGCACCGGCCACGCCGGTTTTCCCCAAGCAGCAGGCGGGCTGGTCTGTTACCTGCGGGGAGGCTGGTACCGGCGGGGCCGCGGGGGCCTGGGCTGCCGCTGACGGACACAGAGTCACAGAAGCTGGCGAATCGGATCCACCCTCTGAATTCTGCATGCTCAGTTCTAAAGAAAGGTGGAGAGAGATTGAGTGGAGCAGGGTTGCCATCACGAAACCCCAAGAGGCAACATCAGACACGCACAAGATCGGCGAGTGGTTATTACCTACGGTCTTCAAAATTCAAATGTGTAAGGAGGACAGGGAAACGGGGGCCCAGCTGCTCCTAGAAAGAGAGGGGGTGGGGCAGGAAATGTTTTTCCCAATATAAAACCAAAACTCAGCTCTGCAGGCACTTCTCAATGGCTGGCTGGGACGACTAACTGCTTCTCCCCTGGCCAGGCTGATCCGGCTGAATGACTTCCCAGGGCTCAGACAACTGTTTACTCATTTATCCAGCAAGTCACAAGCTCTTGATGGATGCTTGCCATCTGGGGAGCTACTGTACCCCAAACAACAAGGGCGTCCTCCTAGAGCAGGGTTTCTCTCCCTCAGCACTGGGGACCACCAGGGCCGGATCGTTCTTCACTTGGACCCCGGCATCCCTGACCTCTGCTCATCAGATGCCCAGAGCGCCGCTCTCCCCGCCCCGCCCCACCGTCATGACAACCAAAAATATCTCCAGACACTGTCCAAGGGAGGAAAAAGGCGATACACAGTGGAAGTAAAGAAGCATTTTATCTTGGGCTGTATAGAAGTGCTGCCTTCTGTTCCTAGAGATCCTTGCCGATGAGAAAGCATAAAAGTGTATTTCTTTGCAGCCAGATGCATATATCTTTCAAATAGGTAGTTTAAAAATTCTATACAGAAAGACTCATTTTTTTTTAAAGATTTATTTATTTGAGAGAGAGAGAGAGAGCAAAAGCAGGGGGAGTGGCAGAGGGAGAGGGAGAAGCAGACTCCCCACCGAGCAGGGAGCCTGACGCAGGGCTCCATCCGAGGACCCTGAGATCATGACCTGAGCAGAAGGCAGAAGCATAACCGACTGAGACACGCAGGCACCCCCAAAAGACTCACTTCATACCGGGACAACGTGGCAGCTGATACAAAAAAATCATTCCATGAAAATGCTCAAGGGCAAACGGTCTTCACTCTTTAAGAACCGACTGCTCTTGGCATTTGAGAAGCTGTTAAATATGCGAACTGCAGAGAGGGGGTGGCTCTGTGGGCAGGTGCACCCCTGTCCTGTGCATGTCCCCCCAGCTGTTAAGTGGAGTCTCCCCACTTCTGCTTCATGGGGAGCCCTGAGCAGCACGGCACACACCACGCCCCGCAGTGCCCAGGACGGACTGCCAGAACGTTACACATGCTTCCGCAGCCCAGGAACTCCCACCTCTAACAACGAAGGAAGAAAGCAGAGAGCAGTGTGTGGGTGTTTATCTCTGAGTGTTGGCTTAACCCCATCTTCACCGACGAGGAATATTCTAGGACTCCCATTCCCCTCCCAAAGCCCTTGGTACCCTGAGAGCCACAGGACGGATCCGTGGATGTGTTGCCTGCGCCTATGGCAGGTTCCCAGGTCCCTGACTTAGTCCTTACCACTAGATGTCCTCAGAGGCACGTGGTGACTGGCATCCCCCACTTTCTTCTTTTAGGGAAGAAGGAGATGGAGAATTTCCAACGTGTATTTATTTTCTGGGTCTCCAACTCTCTGCCTTCCCAATAATTCCCTGACTTTTGGAATTATTCTGTAGGAAGTTGCTTAATCGAGGTCTTATTTACAATTTTCCCCAACGTTGGAACCAGTCATCTGCACCCCACACACTACTTTGTTCCAATCTGAAGCCAGGAAGTGGGTCACTTCAGTGGTAGTGGGAGGAAATCGCTGGACTAGGGCTCTTTGTGGAGAGAGTCCACTGGTCACAGAGTGGGAAAGCTGACTCAGAGGCCAGTTCCTTGTTCACAGGCAGAAATAATAGTGCTCCGAAGCCTAAGTCTTATTAAAACCAGGGGAGCCTGTGAGAGTGTGAGGCTCGACAGTGAGCCCATGCTCGGCTCACTGTGGCCAGAATGCAACTTCCAGAATGCAAGTTATTCAAGATCGTGCCAGGTTTTCACATGAATGTGTTTCCTAGATTAACACATTGTTTGCCATGTGCTGTTTGTCACAGTGTTTAGTGCACGGTGTTTAGGCCAAGGGTCGCCAAAGCTTTTCTGCCAAGGACCAGAGACTTTGGGGTACACCTGGTCCTATTACAACTACTAGACTTTGCTGTCCTGGCACAAGAGTGGCCATTGCTCACACACACACACACACACACACACACACAGAATGATCCTGGTTGTGCTCTAATAAGACTTCATTTAGAAAAAAAAAAAGGTGACAGGCCAGGTTTGGCCTGTAGACCATAGTTGCTGGTCCTTGGTTCGTATAATTTGCGTTTGCTGAAGTGATGTGGGTTTGGAAGATGGGTAGAAAAATGTTACTGTCTGGATCAAAACCTTGAGGTCCAGGGGCCCTGGATCTAGTGTGGAGTCCTTGTGTCCACATCTCCCCAACATGGCAGAACGAGGGGCCACAAGGGATGACCCAAACTGTTAGGAGGATGAAGCTGCCGGCATTTAAAGACAAATGGAATTATCATCTGGTCTGAAATGACAGCAGTGCTCCTGAAGGTTATAAAGTCACAAATAAAATCGCCAAATCCTGGAACCTCAGGAGCCAGGTACAGCCCTTGAAACTGAAGACAGGAGTTTGGGCACAAGGGACAAGTCACTCTGGGGAGTTGTAGTGGGTTGAACAGTGACCCCCACAACTCATGGCCACTCAGAAGCTCTGAATGTGACCTTCTCTGGAAAGAGTGTCTTCGCAGAGATAACCAAAGTAAGGATCAAGAAGAGGTCATACTGGAGTAGGGTGGGCCCGAAATCCAAGGACTGTGTTCTTGTAACAGACAGAATGGGACACGCGGGGAAGAAGGCCACGTGATGATGGAGGCAGAAAGGGTGGGATGCAGCAACACGCCAAGGAAGCCAAGATGGCTGGGGCCACCAGAAACTGGAGGAGGCAGAAAGGATCCTTCCCTAGAGGGAGCACAGCCCGCCGACACCTTCTGGTGTCGTGAGAGGACAAGTTTCAGTTGTTCCAAGCCACCCAGTCTATGGTACTTTGAATGGCAGCCCCAGGGACCTCATGCAGGGATCCATACGATGAGCAGCACAGCTGGGACAAAAGCATCCCGTGCAATGGCTTCTGGGTAGTGCTTCAGTGCACAACCTGGGCAGTTGATAAATATTTACCAAATGAATAAATACTTCAGTGTCTCCTTAGTATTACAGCCCACACTGAATTATACAAGATGATATATAGTGTTTCAGCTAGTGAGAGTCTACATAAAGTTCCAGGACATTTACAGTCTACCTCGTTATTTTAAGGATGTGTAGGACTATTCTGGGAAATGTAATGACCTTTGGAGACTGACTGTTCTACTCGCCCTGAACACATCCCTTAATGTTAGCATCAGAGACAGATGACAGACCCATGGGGGCCAGCCTGGCTGCTCCAATATGTCGAGGGCATGAAATCCTTCCCTACCCATCTAAGATAACCAAGGTCATACGTTGCATATAAGCTGGTCTGGTTTCCTGAATTTTGTTTCTCTGAATTTCTTTTTATCTGGGTCCATTAATCCAGGACTCCTAACACATCAAAGTTAAGGTTTTTTAAAAAATTGTTTCTTAAGAGGTATGCAACAGCACTGGCTTTCAGTAATGGTGGAGTAGACTGGCTGGACCAACCCTCCTGCAGGTAACAGTTAAGAAATCTTGACAAAATATTAAAACACACAACACTTACACACACACACACACACACACACACCTATTTAAAGACATTGGGGGCTGATCAAAGCAGGCAGACATTGCCCAGGAGTCCACCCTTGAAAGACCTCTGTCACAGACCAGTGATTCTGAATTTTTGCCAGGGGCATGCCCCAGTCCACGAATGCTTAGGTGGCGGAAAGCAGCAATCTGGTTGTCTTGAAGTGTGAGAGGAGACAGTTCAGAATATTAGGGGGAAGTCCTGGAAGAGAGAGAGCCACAGAGGGGGAAAGCCCCCAGATCTGCCTACAGTCTATCCAAATCTTTGGCCAACTGACTAACCTACACTTGTGTGGGGAAGACACCAGGGGTTTGGGAGAAAAACCAGCAGCTCAAAGATGAACAAACTTAGAGGAGATTTCAGCTACTGCTGAAAAAGATATATTTGCATGAGGGGCAGGGTTTGAGTCCAGCCAAGATAAACACTAGCAGAGGGAACACAACAGAATCCAGAAATTCTACAACATAGCATTCATGATATCCAGGACCCAATAAAGACCATGAACTAGGAGAAGAAATAGCTACGACCCATACCCAAGAAAAAGAAGGGAGGAGTCAATTATAACCAAACCATGATAATTCAGGTGGTACAGATAAAGCAGCTACTAAAAATATGTCCAAGAACTTAAAGGAAGTTATATGCACAATAAATGAACATATAGGAATCCCAATGGGGGAGGACAAATTATTAAAAAAAATTAGTAGAAATTCTGGAGCTAAAAAGTGCAATACCTAAAATGGAAATTTCACCGACTACACTTAACAGCTGATTAGAAATGGCAGAAGGAAGAGTTAGTGAACTTGAAGAGAGATCAATGGAACCCAATCTGAAGAACTGAGAGGGGAAAAATTGGAGAAAAATGAACAGAATATGCAATCTAACATATATGTAACTGAAGTCCCAGAAGAAAAGGAGAGAATGGGAGAGGAAAAAGATATATCTCTTAAATTTGGTGAAAGACATCAACTTACAGATCCAAGAATTTCAACAAAGCCCAAGAATGATAAATACAAAGGAAACTAACTTAGATGTGTCATATTTAAACTGCTAAAATTAAAAAAAGAAAAAGAAAATCTTGAAAGCAGCCAGAGAAAAACCACATATTATATTAAAAGGAACAATAGCATGAATGATAACTGACTTCCATCAGTGACAATGGTGACCAGAAGACAATGGGATGACATATTTAAAGTGCTGGGGGAAAGCTGTCAACCTAGAATTCTATATCCAGCAAAACTATTCTTAAAA